TGAACGGAGGCTCAGCAAAGAGAGGGTGGATGTCCACCCCCAATAAAACTAATTCATGAAAATGAATGGAGTCATCAATCAACGCGCTGTGGCTTCGTGTAGCTTCGGCTATTCGGCTTCCCCATATTTGAATCGCCAGCTCCAGTTTAACACCTTTTCTGAATTAGCTACAATATCAAATACAGTATTCATCAATGTGCCGAATGAAAGGATTCAAACCCCACTTTAGAGGCAGACCGGACTTAAGAAAAAGAAAAGAAAAAGTTTAGATTTAGATGTTTCGAGAAACACCACTTTCTAATCTAATTCTAAACTTTTTCTATACTTTTTCTTTTCTTAAAGGGTCATTCTAAGAAAAGATTTAGCAAAGATTTAGAAGCTTCGAGAAACTGGCCCCTGGACTGTCCATGGAGGGGTTTTTTGGGTACACCCATGGCTACTTGGAATACGAATGCCGAGGCTCTTGAGCGGTTCAAGAAAGCTAATTTGCAGAATATTCCTCCCGAAGTGATATCTGTTAGCACAACATATTGACAAGTGCATGCGTGTGTATGCTACAAGGCATCTGATGGCATAAATCACTCCTTACCTTTCAGAAACAACAATCGTCAATTGGGGATATATGGAAGGGATAGAAGGGATTCTCCACTATTTCCGCTTGGTGGCCAGTGCGCCTGTGCTACACCATGACGATTTCACCCAAGCCAGGGGAGTGCACGCTCTTAATCTTTTATCTCTTTGGCAAAGCCATGGGACAGACGTGTGCATGGGCAAGGTATGATACTAGCACTGCAGATAGAAAAATTCCCACCATAGGGACCCCCCCTCCAGGGCAAATAGCAGCGCCAGTATGGGGCCGGTAGTAATCCCAATAATAGTCCTAGATGTATATTCCTTGGCATGCAATATTGATCCAATATTGGGGTGCTACTGGGTGTGTTTTAGTGGCAGCCTTGTCTCGGGAATGAGTCTTGAGGGGAGAAGGAATCGAACAGACTTTTGCAGATGAACGCAATCCTAACAGACTGCGTGAATGTCTAAAACTCCGTCTAAAAATACAGTCTTCTAGCACAAAATAATGTAACGAATCTCCGTTATAATTTTTACGAGCCTTTGGGCATCAACGTTTGCCCTTCAGAGTGCGAAGATCGCGCAGTGCTAATTCCTCATCGGTATTAAGTATACATGCCTGTGGGGTCCGTCAAATTATAGCCTAAATTTTATTGGTGAACGCTACAACTCTGAGTGAACTGTAGTAGCAAAAGTGGAGGTAGCAATATCGATTATAAAACACATGCGGATGGGACATTTGGGCCATTATATTTTGCACGGCGGGGAATCCCTGTAATACGTCACGGAATAGATAGAAAGGTCACGAAATTTGTCGAGAACCTGTGAGGAAAGTGGACTTCGATCAATGCGAGTTTCCGGTCTATCAGTTGACGATATCCTCTCATGTTTGATGTTATCGGATTCGTATTTTTCCCACGTTTCGGGGAAGATATCAGACAGTGTGACAGCCTCCACGTGAATACTTCCAGCCTCCGTCAAATGAACGACTTCGGACCCCAACCAACAGTTGGGGTTCAAAGCCTTCGTAGGATTCCCAGTCTTGCCCAATAGCTAGGCTTGCGGCAAGGAAATCATTGATAGATTTTGCAATTTATAACTGGCGAATGTGAAGGAATCATATTCCACAGCTTTCCCTCATATGCAGAGGGTATGCATCGATGTAACGGATGCCATGGTGTTGAGTTTTTTTTCCGCTAGACTTGTTCTATTGGCTCTATTCCGTCGCACTGTGAACGTGATAAGAAAAATCCAGGATGGTCTCCTCGCCTTATCGGAGTCGTGAATGCATCCTACTCAATGAATGGAACCACTCCAGCGACGCATTAATGCAACTAAGCGTCAAGAATGGTTATGGTGGGTGATAACCGCGAGTGCCCAACGCCAACCTCCCTAAAAGCCATAAAGATGGTCATGAGAACGCGTGTTTTGCAAGAAGGCGTTATAAACGGCCAAAAGCCTTGGTTAGTACGGAACCGGGCAGATAAATGCGTCTCGATCAGCAGTCCACGAATTTGCACGGGAAGGAGAGGGAGGTGCTCTCCCTCGAGAGCGAGAAGCAGATCGAAGAAATGGCGCGTTTACTGCGCGGCTCCAACCGGAAAGTTCAATTGTTTCTTGTTTTCTTTCCACTTACTTTTCTAGGCTTCATTGATTCATACAGCGTTTAAAATGAGATTTCATTTAAGCTCATCAGCGAGACTCGACCTAAAGGCCGATTTGAGTTGCGACGATGAAACATTTTCATGGGAATTTGCACTCGGCCAAAACCGCTTCATCCAATGCGCCATCCACTGGTAGAAACGATCCAAAATCTTTGTATAAAGCGTAATTTGAGCATGTGTAACCACTCTTTTGTTCGGTAAATCGGCTTTCCGATAATCCATCCGAGCGATACCAGTAATGGCAATCTGGGAGCTAATGAATTGTGCTACCCTCTTAACGGGCATGTCAAATTGAGGTTCCAAAAGTAACTAACTTTTCAATTAAATTTTAAATGTATATATCAGTAAACAGGCTGTTGAAGATGTTAGAAGAAATACGTTGGATACTATCACGACAGAAAGGTGCAGAAAATTAAATGATGCTCGTTTGCAAGGATGGCGGTGGACAAGGCCATCTTCATCCATGCACCGCACCTTTGAGAAACGTGACCTGTAGGGTGAGTTCCTTTTTCAATCGAGTCCCAAAGTTTATTCGAGCAGCGAAAGATCACTATTTGTGGCATTCGTGTGCGGCTCAACGAAACAAATAAGTTCGTCGAAAGCTATTTTATTTCCCCTTATATATTTTTTTACTGGGTTTGTTAGAGTACAGGTCTTGCAGAGAAAAGAAAAGGCATGGGGATCTACTCCCTATTTCTGATTCCAACGCGTCCCAGGAAAGAGTGATGGACGAGAGGTTGCCACCAGTCTCTGATGTCTCATTTCTTTCCGCGTCGGAGTTTTTTCACAAACTTGTAGACTTGCTTGAGAGTCTTTTTGAAGGTGAAGATGATGTCGAAAGAGGGCAGTTCCTCGTCGTCGGGGATCCAGTCGTCAATATTGGTGGCACTCTGGTCGAAAGATTTTATTAGATCCATGGGGTCGAAATTGGGATCCTTGATGCGGCTGATCCATTCGGCAGCTGACTTAGCCGCCTGCAGGTGCTGGATCCGCGTCGGATAGCCGGCTTTCTGCTCCTGTTCTTCCAGGGCGATCAATTCCTCGATGTAGTCCACCATGGAGAGAGGATCCGGCTTGAGGGCGATTTCTTGGAGCCGCCGGTGGCTCTTGTGGGCTCTGTCGATGAGGGCGATCAGCTTCGTCTGGGCCTTCTTCCATTGACGAAAAAACACTGCCTTCGCCTGTTCGTTCGTTTCTCCTTCGATCTGGGAAACGACGCCCGCGTATTTCCTCGACAGTTCCTCGGACGTGCGTGTCACCTTCTCCGGGGTCGATCGATAGATGTTGTTTTCGAGTCGATGGGAAATCCATTTGCACGATTGGGGGCATGCCATGCATCTAGCATGCAGTTTCTTTTCGTCCGTTGTCTGTTTCATCGTCTTGGTGTCTTTCATGGCTGCGCAATTCCACAAGTCTCCGTGCGTTTGAATCGGACATGGATAATGGCATGTCATTTCACACGTGCTGGAAATGGAAACACAAAACGCTTCAGCAAGCTAATTGCAAGGTCTCCTATTGTGAATTTGAAAGCAACTGTGAAGTGATGAACGATCCAGACAACACTTCCAATTATTTTGCCGCGATACCTCGGCTTAATCGCTTTCCTGCAGCGAAAATATATGGACAATTAATATTTAATGTCGACTCATCGTTCACATCGTGACAGCTGTCAGCAAGTTTTAGTAATTTCTAACTTTCTTAAATTTACATTGTTGCAATGTTCAAATATGGTTGCAAATTTTCAGTTTCCTAGTTGGGATGCTTCACTTATATCTTCAGAGGAAGTATTCCTTAGGCAAGAAGGACTGACTTGCAATTAGTGGCATATTCCCCTTGTCCCAGAGGCTGTTTCTCATAAAAGGTCACCGTGATGGTTTCTCGGAACCTTCGATCGAACTTGAAATTGTGCTTCTTCAACACTTGGTATTCCTCCTTGAGTTCCTCCAAGTCCTGGAGACCTGAAACATGAGACATTCTTGTAATTGGCGACCTGGTAAGAACGTTTCTTTGGATGATATTGTCGAATCTACTTCTGCTGATGAGGGGTTGAAGGATTTCCAAAGCCGACTGGAGATTTTCCCTCTCCCGCAGGACCTCTCGGGTCAAGGTTAAGGTAACAGGTTGACAAATTCCAAACTCCTTGAAGAACTTATGAAAGGTCTGAATTCCTCGTTCCCAGAACAGCCGCTGAATGTCATCGTCTTCGGCATACAGGGCGGAATTGTTAAATCCGAAATGAGATTTGAACACCACCCTTGCCGCCTTTAAACCCGTCAAGACGTTGGGATTGTCCGAATCCGCGAAGGTGGCGATGAGGAAAAAGTTGTCCTTCATGTCCTTCCCGAATATGGCCTGAAGGGAGGTGTAAATGTAGCGGTGTTCGGCCGTCAATCTCGTATGAGCGGCCTGGGCCACTATGCCGATTGCATGAAGTTGATCCATGCCTTGTCGACCCTTTTTCTCAAAGAGGGCTTTGATTTTCTCCACGAGGCGCTTGTCTTCTTCGATTCCTGCATGGGAGTGCCAATCGGTTGACGAACTATTAACAAATATTTCATGTGACTTGGAATCCTGAAGGAGGCCTACTTTACCTACAGACAGCTCTGTCTGAATGGGGGAGCTCCCTTTTAATCCGATTGTAGCTTTAGCTGCAGTGTTTTCTCTCTCTTCAATGATTTCCTCAAATGAGTTCTTGCCACCTCTGACGTGGGCTCCATACGGCCTCTCTCCCCCCCCCCCCCCCCATTGGATGCACCATAGAAATAGCATTGCACTATTTAAAAGATGGAGCGAATTCATTTGTAAGTCACTGTAGGACGAATTACGTATGGAATTTCAAGCTTTAACCAAGGTCCAGCTGAATTACATTGCTAAGAATGCGACCCCCCCCCCCCTCTCCTTCCTCTCTAGAGAAAACTCCATGATAGCGGAGAAAACGCAGGATTACGCTTACAATCCGCTCCACATCGAACAAATCGTGTTGGGACTCGCATTGATGGACAACGTCAAGCAGCTTATCTTAAGCTGACCTTCTTTTCTTTTGTATTGAAGTTAAACTATCCAGCTTAAACCTGCAAAGCTAACGACGCAATAATGTCGTGCATTGAGTCCCACACCTTTGAGTTTCGAATGGAAGTTCTTTAAAGAGCATCTCTGAACCGCTATGCAAACCGTAAACAGGAGTCCGAAACCCGCTAAAAGTTGAGTGACTCATGAAAAGTCGATTAACTCCTACCATGTAAAACGAGACTCTAGGTGCCTGTTTACATGAGTAACTAAAGGGTAGCCCCTCAAATCACTTCAAATCAAACTTGTGGCGCACTAACATTCTATCATAAAAGCCCAGCCCATGATACGTGATGAGTTCAGCAGGAACTGACTTTGGCGCGTTTGACTAAAGCCACTTAACTTCGTGCATGTAAATGAGGCATTTTCTTTATTATATGAGCTTAGTGCAGCTAAGACCAGGCGTGTAGTGGTTAATAGTGCTCAAGTCAGTTCTTGGTCTCACTGAAACCATCAGGTGTATTACATTGGGTGCAATCATTGCAGGTCAATGCGACACCTGTGAGGTTCCTCTGCAAATGATTGCCTGAGCTATCCATATAAACGGACGCTTTAACCAATTTGCGCTTTTTTAAAATCATATTACAAGAATCTAAGTGGAATTTGTTGCCATATGTACGTACCGTCAGTGTCACCAAAGCCCGGGGTATCGATGACAGTGAGAGAGTGTGGGATCCGGAAACCTTCCTGCCATTGAAAGATGTAAGAGTTGATCCATTTCGTTTGACTGTATTGCGAAGATCTCTTTTTCTGTCCTTTCTCCGTCTTGATCTTGAACCGGAACTCGTCCTCCCATTCCACCCCCAACACGAAGTTGGCGATAGCATTTATCATTGTGGACTTCCCTGAAAACCATCGCATTCCCATCAGAATTCATCGCACCGAAGGATTGTCAGTACCATGCGTATCGTTCCTTACCAGATCCTGTTCCTCCGACAAGGAGGAGAGACATGTTCCTGTTAGTGTTCAGCGTTGTATCCCTTGGGCAAGCCACCTGGTATTTGGCCAAATGATTCTCGTTGTCTATGTCGACTGGAAGAGTTTTCAACTCGTAGATGTCCCTGGCAGCTTTCTTCAACAGGGGTGACATTTCCTTCAGTTTCACGGCGAGCCGGGTTGTCTTATGAGGCTTACCTCTATATATAATTATATCAAGAGAGTTCTGTTTCTGCTCAAAAGTATTTCACTCCTAAGAATTGCACATCAGAAAACGTTTAAACTCACATAGTAATTTTGCTGAATCCTGACTGAATCGGGAGTTCTTCGGTGTCAGGAGAATCGCAATCAAAAGAGTCTCTCTCGTGAATGCTTGTCTTGGAAGGAGGAATGGTTATCCTGAGATTACCGTTTTTTGGAAGGAGACTCAGGGGTATCATCGTGAACTTCCCTGGGTTTTCCATAGACTCGATTTCGAAGACTACCTCATCGGAATTCACCCCCGGGTAGTCCTCCTCCAATATTTCCAGGAGGTCACGGAGGTGCTGGAATTCCACTCGCTTCCTTTTTCCGTTTATCATCAGTAGGAACTTGTATATATACTTGTCATCCTCACTCGAGTAATCCTCGGAGAATTCCGATTCGTTCTCGGTATGACTTTCCGTTTCTGTTTTCGGACTCATTGCATCAGGAGGAGGGGTACTCCTCAAAGAAGAACCATTCCTGGAACCAGCTGCAGATGCTTCCGAGGAAGAGCCATCGGATTCCGACCCAGATTGAGACTTACTGGGGCTACCAGCAGCAGTAGCATAGCAATCAGCTGACTGGAGAGGTTCTACCAATGTACCGGAGACCGGTTCACAGTCAGATGATAACCGCTTAGGGACCGGAGCAGGAGACTTTCTACCTGAAGGTCCAGGCGAGGTGGGTTCTACAACCTCGGGCTCATCAGTCTGGACCCGAAGTCTGGCTTGCTTGGGAAGAACTACGTCTTCTGTCAGCTCTACCCAATCCTGGAAGGACTTGTTATAGTATTCGATCCAGAACTCCTCCGTGCTCAAATCCGGAAATTCTTTCTCTATGGCCTCCATCAGCTCCAAATTCGAGGAGACCCGAATGATCCGCTTCCTCCGACCGTAGGCCACCATGTATTCCATCGCAACCAAGAATCACAAGGGGATAGAGAGAGAATTTTATAGCACCTAGAGTAAGACTGTATAAGACAGTCAGTGAAATTCTGGTCTTACAGGATTGATAACGCTCGAGCATTGTACTTGTCTCTTTATCTCGTTGCACGGCTCCGGATCGTGTCTGGGGAAAATTCCAACGTTAGGTAGATTAGATATGCTTTTCCATTCATGATGGCTGCCGCTGTTTGATGCATTCCCTTACCGTCCTCTCTTCCAGCCTGCAAAGTGAGTCCCGATCATGTTTGATAATACAGGAAGGACAGAACAGAAGGTTCAAATCAAAACCATTGAGAAAATGGTGCCATTCTTCCGTAATGAGGAGGAAATGATCGCTTGGTATGACATCGACAAAGGTCCAAAGGAGAAATTCCTGGAAACCAAGGTCATACTTCTGGTCGGAGGTACCGGAGCAGGTAAGTTCTACAAATGTACATTTCATCCCATTCCCCAATTATGTACCTCATTAATCCTTCGACTTTTGATGGATTGCAGGAAAAAGTACTATGGTGAACGTGTTTGCGAATTATCTGATGGGTGTCGAGTCCGACAGCCCTGTTCGTTTTGAGATCGATATGAAGAAAGAGGTGAGCGGGGACAGCCAAGAATCCAGTCAGACGAAATGGGCAACAGCTTACACTTTCCACAATCCGAAACGCCTACGTTTTCCTGTCACGATCGTGGACAGCCCCGGATTCGGAGATACCTCGGGACTTCAGGCGAATCAAGTCATTACCCAACAGATCCGAAAACTCTTCGATACAGAGCGATTCCAGAGCCTGAACCGTTTGGATGCCCTGTGCGTCGTCGTTCAGTCGCCGAATGCCAGGTTGACTCCGGGCGAGAGATACGTCTTCAATTCCGTCACGTCTATGTTCGGGAAGGACGTGACGGAAAACCTCGTCATTCTTGTCACTTTTGCGGATCTTCAGGATCCGCCAGTCTTGAAAGCCGTGAAGGCAGCCTCGATACCTTGTCGCTGGGACTACAGATTCAACAATTCCACGTTCCTGTCGTGCGAGATTCCCGGAGAGAAATCCGTCATGATGGCTTACTGGAACCTGAGCAAGGATAGTTTTAAGCGCTTTTTTGAAGACCTGGAACAGAGGGAACCCGTGGAGCTGAAAATGACGAGGAAAGTGATGGAATTGGAGAATGAGATTAAGTCTCTTGAAAAGAAAATTGTCGACGGTAAGATTCTCAATTGTTTTTTCAAGGAATTCCAGTCCTAGAATACTCATAGCCTTTGCCTGGCTTAGAGCTGGAGGAAGTAGGAAAGGCGGTGAAAGCAGAGCACGATTCTAGAAAGCAGATGACACAATGGATAAAAAAAGTAATCGAGAACAGAAAGGAATTGGAAGAGATCGCGATGCAGCCTCACCGTATGACCATCGACGGATTCATCGATACCCTCATCGACTCTGAGAACATCGATCGTCGGGGAGGCTACAAAGAGCGGCTTAACCTGCTGCTGAAGATCAAGGAGATTGTGCTCAAAGATCCAGACTTCTCAGTCCAAGAGCAAAATCCAGGAAACGATATACTAAATCCCGGTCAAGCGTCCAACGAACCTCATAAGGTACGAACGACAGCGTCAAATTATCTTACAACACTTCTTGCCTTACACCGGATTCGTTCATTTCTCCCTCTAGAGCGACACATTCACGAAATGGCTGTTCAAGGGGATCAAGATCTTTTTTACAGTGAGTCGTTATCGTAGCAGTTTTCCTCGGTTTCTGCTCTGGTTTGGTGTTTATACTTTTCTACAATTTATGTTCACGTTTTTTGCGTTTTTACTTCGTATCGTTATGCTTTCCCAATTTTTCCCCCATCGTACTTGGTACCTTAAGTGATACCTGAAGGGTGTGGAACCGTGGGATGACTTAAAACAGATTTCGCTTGAAATAGTCTTGAAAATTAATGCTACTGGGAGTGAAATCATATTTTTCGCTGCCCAGGGAATTTCTGCCAATGAGCACAAGGGGGAAAAAATTTCATTAGGCTGCAAGTAAGCGCTCCTAGCAACAATAATTCGCAAATCTAAATCTGTTCTGTTACCATTTGTTCACCCGACTTAATGGCACTTTTGTCATAGGGAAAAAGTTCATCAACCTCCAAGATTACGAGCCAACGAGGTTCAATGAAAAAGAGGAATCCAGCCGAACCACATGATTTCCATCATCCATCAGATATGCAGTCATCGAATGAACATCATCAAACGTCGGCGCCGACACCTGAAGACCAGAACGTGCGTGTATGGAACACCTGATTTTTCTAAAAAAAAAAACTTAATTCAGTGATTTGAACTAGTTGGATATGTAACAAACGCCACTTCAAGATGCAGCTGGCTCAAAGGAAAACGAGTTCCGCTGTTTGTATTCGGTTAATGCTCTTTATGAGCGATTTTTTAAGTATCGGTATTCTTCGCCGGTATGCCATTTTTATATCGTAATCCTCACATTTTAAGTCATGTTTTTTCTTTTCGTTTACGTACTACTGATAGGAATAGCGTTTTCTATTCGACGTGTTTCCATTGCAGAAAGATGGAGGTGCATCACCGAACAAAGGGAAGCAGAGACCCAATAAATCTCGCAAAGCTCAAGTGAGTTCAATCTTCCTAGGTATTTCATCAACTTAAACTGAACAGGTATTTAATCCTTTGAGTTCCAGCAGGCACCGCTTCCACCCCCCTCCGAGAATCTTTCTTCGCACCCCGTCTCCAAGGTAAGAGGTCACTACTCTTCTTGGCGGAAACTGACTGTAATTTGACACTCGCACATTTCTTTTGCGCAGGTAGGGGGGAGCAATACCGCCCAAGTTCCGCCGAAACGGCCTCCTCTTCCTCCGATGTACAATACTTCTGAACAAGAGGCAAGACTTCTTCCCCGTGAACTTGGGAATCCCTGTTCTTATTTTTACGAGATTCTGCGACTTTTCGCTGAAAAAAAAAATTTTAGCGAGTAATTCGTCAAAGGAAAATTCGTGGCATATGACTATTCCCGTGATATAATCATTATTTCCATTAATTTGAAACCGCAAGATCACACTGTCGAATGAATCTAGAAAAAGACACCGTTTTTCTTTATCGCCAACCCTCTTCTCCCTTCCCATCTATTGAAGGTGCCATTAAACTAAGAACATTTAGGAACTATATTAAACCTTGGCCACCATGCATGAAAGCACATTCAGATGGCGTAGTTTTTTTCGTGGCTTTCGTCACAACACAGGGGTAAAGCCCAAACTTGTGTCTAATGTTTTGTATTTTAAGACGCTAAGAAACCGCGGAAGCAGAAAGGCACTAGCATCGAAAGAAACGTGGTGTATGTGTTTTGCTAATCTTCATTCTCACCCTATACCCTTCATATGACTGCGTGCTGTTGAACCTAGGATAGCTCTCAGACTATAATTGCCTCTGAAGGCGAGGAGCTGTTCTGGTAGCTGGGCGCAACCCATCCATGAAGCCTTATTCTCACCATGTGGCACATCCCCTTCTTCCGAAATTTGGCGCACCCTAATAAATTCTTTTATTGTCTTGGTCCAGCCCCTCATTGCTGAGGAGACATGATAAGAGCTTCCTAAATTCTTCTCTCGAGGTCAATTCAAATTTAAAATTCCTTGAAAAAAAAGTCGTTGATGGAAAGTAATTCGACTAAGTGACTGACGTTTTCGCGAGCTGGATCTAGGTGACTTTCAGTCCAAAGACGTGTAGATAAATCTAATTTCATTCTTGGCATATCATTCCCAGCCCCAGGGAGAGCTGAATGTTGGTCCTAATTGAGCATCTTGGGACATCATGGGAAGAAATGCCTGATGTTGATTTATGTTTTTACAGGAAGTGCACGTTCATGTCAAACGGACTCCTCAACCTCGGCCTTCTATCTCCAATAAGGTAGGAAGGAATAAGGAAGGAAAGGACTCCCTCTCCTACTTCCCAACACTCTTAACCGACATCCAGTGGCACTCACCATACCCAATACGACGAACATGGGAATAATGATAAGCTTACTTCCCAGGATATCAGAGACTTCATGCGGAGTCACTCTAATCGTAGAAAACGCGCCTCTACTGTGTAGAGGCGCGCGTAGATGCGCCTCTCATAAATTTGCATGTTACAACACGAGAGGAGTAGTTGGAGCAAAGCTGGTCACGTGACCAAACGAAGTGATGTGTTTGGTGTCCTGTCATGGGACTTGCCTTTATTCCTTATTAAGTTGATAGTAAAATTCTTGTGATTGCGAAATCTACGATTCCAGCAATATTGTATGTAAAATGTATAGACTCATATGCAAGAAAAAGGTGGTCTTCATTGTGGTCCATATCGTTTCATACTATATAAGAAAACAGCGCAAAATTACACCGTTTTAGCTGTGAAGAGTAAAATATATGAAACTGTAGGTTTGAATTCATATTGATTCTGTTTAAGATTATTGTTGGGAGTAAAGGTGGTATAGGGAGTGACCGCCACACAGCAATTACTCGAACATGCAAGGTTTACGCGGCTGAAACGATATGGCCGCTATGACAATACCGAATGTAACGAGTCACTTATTCCCTGATGCGACTGGAATAGGTCTCAGTACTTTTCACACGGTACCAAGTCTTTCTACTCCGGCAGTTCAGAGGAACCAGGAATTCCTCATTTCCTTCGCCTAAAGAGGTAACTCAATTCAGGGAGACCCCGAAAAAATTCTGGTCAAGAGGATTAAACAATGAAGGATGAACTAGTGCCTTGATCCCATGCACAAGGAGAAAGAGAAACTTATGTATGTCTCAGCAAAAAAGGGCATTATGATTAGTATTGGTTGTGCGAGGCTTCTCCCCAGGAGATTAATCAACGTATGGCAAGAGCCGTTCAGTAAGTATCAATATATTTCTTGGTCTGACTATTCAGCGGAAGAAGGAACCAGCAAGTGGAAGATGAAGTCACAGCTGGTTTTAATCCTGGAAAGCTCCTTTTAATCCTGGTCGCTCACAAGGAGACAATCGAAAATGGAAAAATAATTACTAGCTTGAGAACTCCTAACTAGAGCTTCGATTTTTCTTTCGTACAGGACTGCAGATTTCTCTCCGAACTGTCCACACCCTTTAATGCTCATAATCCATTGGACCGTTAGAAGAGCTCTACACTGTAAAGTACACAGAATCAGATGCGTGCACTACATAAATGACATCCTAAAATGTTATTTATGGCACTGTTGTATTCTGGGTACGACAAAATGATCACCGACTATGAGCTACTTCTTTTCAGGACTAATTTATCAATTTTCACCAAATTTGGTGAGGGCTTGCCTTTTTTTCACTTGTTAAAATCCATAAATTTAAATCGAAATTATAACCGATATTCTCCAATAAGCCTAATGTTTGAAGTAGACAGAAGTTCTTGCGCTTCGAAAATGACTACAGAATGCTTTAAACTGATTTATTTTTGTATTGAAAGCAGCCAGTATAAGACTAAGCAAGTTTTAAAAATTAAATCTCTCGAATAAATAATATTTGACACGACACAAAATGACCGAACATAGGATCACACTAACTTTAGTGGATGCTGCAACATTTCAAACACCACTGCATATACGCAATCCCATTGCAGTGTTGCCGCGAACTTTTCTCGGAGGAGTTGTCTATTTCACATTTTAAATTTTCTGCAGAATACTAGTATGAACTTTCGTAATTTGACCTAATTTTCAAAAAGGAAAAAGAAGGCAAGCTAAATTCCATCAAAATATTTATTGTGATTTAGTAAAAGAATTCCTGAGACATTGCAACTCAAACTCGTTTGTCTTTTTTTGACTTGCCCTGAATACTAGGTACATCGATACCTTCTCCGCAATAGCACATAACCATCGGCCTCAGCTCCTCAAAAAAGTTGCATGCCTTAAACATATTCTGTTTTGAAGGGTTGTTATATATTATGTGCACGTCGCTATGAATTCCTGCTTTTTTTTGCCCTATTGACCTCAGGGTCGCCAAATTAACTTTATCTTGCTAGCAAGAAGTTGTGAGACAAAGTTACTGACCCTCTGACCTAATCTACGAATAAGTATTACATCATGATGATAATACAGTAGATTTCCTCCTTCCTTGCCCCCCCCCCCCCCACACACACATACACGTGCGCGCGCGCGCGCACACACACACACACACACAGAGCATTTTACATGCTAAATGAGTTTCAAAACAGGATACCAATCATATTTTACTCCATAGCTACAATCCAAAATATAGTAACTTACGTCCTTTTTCTGTTTTACCGTATGGTTTGTCATGGAAAATTTAGTCACTTGTGCCATCTCTTATGGGATCCCCTTGTTTCAGGGAGCGAACCCGAAACACCATGAGGAGCCCAAAGAACATGCGACAACCAGCTCAGACGCGCACCACATTATACCACATTATACCAGACGACGAAGATTACGGTGGCCGTAACAGCTGAGGCCTGGAGTTTTGTACCATTGCAGTACGTTATCTTCTTTTATTGAACCGGCGGAAGAATACGGCAAACCTCTTTATACTATAAGGAACAAAGTGGGAGAGAGCTCGAAGGACCATGAGGAGCCCAAAGAACATGCGACAACCAGCTCAGACGCGAAAAACCAGATTGTTCCCGATTCTGCGCCCACCGACAGTTCAACTAAAGCCTTGGGTGCTGCTTCTAATGCCACCGGCATTGTCGACTCCGGACCTCAAAACATGGTAACGTCATGCAATAGAAGAAAATAACTTGACCGCCTTCTTATGCCGTTTGGAGAAATATGATATTCATTGAAGTGTAGCGACCCAAGACGCCAGCAATAAAGGTACTACAATGTGATGAAGGTACTGTCGCACTCTCGAGTGAACTGACCTGGGACTGAAGCTGACTTCGGACTGAAAGTCAAGTAGTACTTAATATCTAATATTCACGGAAGGTGAGGCATTGAGTGAAAGACGATGAGTTTATCGCATCTATGGTGACTGTGTCGGGCATTATACCATGATTTGTTGAAAGGAAAGGGAACACATGGGACATACTTCCTTGTCTTTCGGTTTTGGGGAAATTCTTTTTGTCTTAGCCTTAGCACGCCCATGTGTGGGAATTTTCATCCTCTTCTGAAACCACAGATCCTTAGTGGACACCTCTCTATTTTCATCTGTGGATAGAGTCCACCTGCTTTTTCAAGCTATGGAAATGGTACATTAAATGTTACATAGGAAAGTAGATCACCCTATCCAAGAAGACGACCCACACTCTATTTTTTCCCTAAGGACTTTGGCTTTCTCGTTTATTGACGTTTTCTTTAGCTAAAGACAGTCGTGACAGCTTGCCTGCATGCGTATTCTGTCACCATGGCATACGAAAGACTTGCTTTAACACGTGGCCACCCCATGACACGCCGGTGTGTCACATTCGTCATAGGGAAGAACAGTGGTTCCAAACCCCTTGGCTGTTCACGATGCTACACCTATTTTACTTGTTCAAATAGGTACTCCATAGGAATTTCTTTTCTTCAGTGAGCCAGTGACAAGACAAACCCATCAGTAGTCTCCTTGTTGAAATTGATTAAGTAGTCTTTGCCAAAAAAAACAAAATTGGATATTTTAACTCTAAGAGTTCTTCGTACTTCTTGCACTAATTCAGTGATTTTATGGCTATGGCTGTCGGTGCCACCACGAACTAAGGACGATTCCCCCTATGGGAAAACAGTTATCAAGAGGGAAATACATTTGTCGAAATTCAATTATTATTTTTTAATCATTATCTAGACTTGTCTGCGTTCTGAATAATGAGTTTTTTTTAGCGCTTGCTTGATCAGTACGAGAGGCCCTTCTCGCTTTAAGGTACATTCTCAGGGTGTAACGAATCCAAGGTTAGTTTAGGTCTTGCTCTAAGTCGGTTTGCGCGTTTTTTACATGAAGGATTTTTGGCATTTCCCATACTCCCAGCTCCCATTCTCAATTCCGAATGGTTGAAGATGATCCGAAAAACTCAACAATGCCCCTGGGATTCGTGATGCACTCGACAGCGTATCTGTGCTTCACCATATCGTAGTAACGTTATAGCTGTCATCACGGGTCACTT